ACAGAGTGTGGGCCCTATGCTGAATTCCTATGTTCCTGGTCACAGACACTGCCCCTCTCCCCACACCCCTGTTCCCGCCAAGTTCTCCCCTTCCTCCTACACTTGGCAAGACCTAGAGCTTGGACAGTCAAACACTCCCTCCCGCTTCCCCAGCCACTGTAATGCCACAGCCTGGGATCCCCTGGCAATCGCTGGCTCCTCCTAAATGACATAGTGGCTGGCATTTATGGAGTGCTTACTATGGGCTCGGTAATTCTTTACAGCAACCTCCACATCACCCCTATGAGCTAGGTATACCATTAGCCCTACTTTACAGATATGGAGACTGACTCTTAGAAGGGATCAGTGACTTGGCCAAGATGCCACCACTGACAGGTGTCAGGGCCAGGCTTTGTGCAGCCCAGAGCGTGTGCTCTCAACTCCTCTTAATCAGGCTGTCTGTGGGGCACCTGATCCCTCTCCCTTCTTATGGCCAGCCTGTTTTATAGATCTACATGTCTTGTAATATTTACCAGGGGAGCCATCCCCCTTCCAATTTTCCAGAAAGTAGACAGTGAATAAAATAATCCCAGCAGAATGAAAAATTGGAATTATCTTGCTCTGACGTCCCCATATCCCAGTCCCCACCCCAGAAGACCCTCACTTTGGACAAGCCCAGCAAGCACTCTCAGGGCAAGAGCCAGAAAGATCTTGTACAGAGAAGCTGTGCTCTGTACAGGCTGGGTCTCCAGTGGTCACTGAGTAAGTGCTTGAAGTGGCACTCAGAATCACGGACCACACTGATATGATTTGATTTCCTAGATGCACCTCCTATGGCTCATCTATTGTAGGTAGGGTGGGGGTGGGGAGTCCACTTCCTCCTCACCATAAGGTGCCCTCATTTTGGGAGGCCAGGACAGGGCTGTAGGGTGTGGCCTCCCTCCCCTGGGCACGTAGGAGCCTAGGCTCTGGGTCAGGCACCAGTCCTATTCCACCCAACACTTGCCATGTGACTGGGGCCAGCTCCTGAACTTCTCTCAGCCTCAGTTCTCTTATCTGCAACATGGGGAGAGAACCTCATCTGAATAGGTTGCCATGGGGATGAAGACAGGATAGGGAGGGCCTGGTCTGTCGTGCGGGCACAGGACAAGTGAGTGGCCTCCCTCCTTGAACTCCTCCATCAGAATTCCCTGTCCCACCTAAGGGCAGAACCTCTTGGCACCCACCCGCCCTGCCCCACCCCTGCTTTCACCTTAGGATGAGCATGAAGGAGGGTGTGTGGGTGACACAAGCCAGTGCCGCCCCCAGGCTGACCAGGAGCATGAAGGGCAGCACCAGGTGGCCACAGGCCGAGTCGCAGGAACCCGCTGGCACTGGGCCACCCCCTACCACGCAGCTGCAGTTGGCGTAGAAAACCTGGGTGGGAAGGGGAAGAGAAGAGCCTTCAGGAGCTTCCGAGGGCAGGAAGCTGGCCAAGGCCTGAGGTCTGGGAAGGCTTGTGAGACGCCCAAGGGCACTGGGCCGGCTGGGGTAGAGCCCCTGGAGTCTGGGACTCTGACCCCTTAGCTGAGTCCTCGAGCCAGGCAGGTGGCTGGACACAGGCTGTCTG